CCTCAACGGTCTCCCTCAGGGCTGTCTCCACGGCGGTCTCCATGGCCTTCTGTACCCTGCTGAGATGGCTGTGATTATGCTTTTCCAGCCAGAACAGGCGAAACTTAGGGTGGAAGGCCGCTGCCAGCTGGCACTCCTTGTCTTCTATAGGAGGGGCCCAAACCTTTTCGTGATGCCTGCCAGCATTGCGTCCACCAGAGGACTGCAGTATAGGTGTGGGCGTGGTACATGGCTTACGATACTTAGCATTAAATCAGAGATTTTAAACATTTTTAGCGGACTTCTAGTTAGCGGAACTAAATTTAGCGGAAGCTAATTGGTCCGCTAAAGGTTTTCAAAGTTAGCTGAACAGCTAATCCGATAAGGAAAAAGTTAGCTTCGCTAATTAGTGGTTAGCGGATTAGCGGAACTGTGCCCACCACTGCCTATGGAGGACCCTCAATTCCTCCATCGCAATCCACCTGTAAACTCCTAACTCCTAGCGCCAATCTTGCCACTCTATTCTGTATCACCTACAGTCAGTCGAGCTCACCCTCATTGTTTGCTAATGCATCCCATTCAACTACGGTATGTATTAAACGATGAAATATACCGGTCACGTAATTCCAGATTTCCCTCAACAATTTGGAAGGTTCAATATCCACAATACCTGGAAATCCATTGCACACATTTTTTGTATATGTTTTCAAGGTGCAATAACTAAATGAATTATTCTTAGGCAGAAACCTTCGAACAGAAACGAAACGCGTCACAATTAATTCTTTCGGAAGATCAACAGTACAAAATTTGCAAGCAATAAGTATCATGGATACGCGCATTCGATAAGCCTCTTAAGTTGCCAGGTTAGCCCTTGTGTTGCCCGGGATAAATAATTCCTGCAATTTTTCAATCCCTGCAGGATCTATTCTTTTCTGAATTTTCCTATGAAACTAATTAACGCATTCAATAGAACGACTACCTTTACGAAAAACAGAATAGAAATTGAATATCCAAATTAAATTTCGAAGTAGCGCGAAAAATTGTGAATTAACAATTCCAAACAGTTTAGGTACGTTACATCGATCTGTAATTCTTAGTTAATTTGCATTTTTTGCAAACAAATTGTTCAAATATTTCCTCTACTACAATAATTTACATTTAATATTTCCCGATTGCTACATAATTCTGCAATCCGAAACCGGGCGCAGCTACCTAATTTTTAACAGCTAAACTTGCCAAACTTACCTCGTTTAAGGTTTCTAAATTTCTTAATTGCCGAGGTTACTTCCAGCACTATAGTCCGTCCTTCGCTAATGTGCAAGAAATTTATCATATGTTTAGCGTTCCACTTTTACAGCGTCTAAATTCTTCAAGTTGACAGTCATTTGAGAATCTTGAGCGAACGAAGAATAAAAAGTAAAGAATAAAGTACGATCCTAGAACCAAACGCACAATTGGTATGATATAAAGCCGTCATGCGATATGATTGATGCACTCGGTGTCAATCCTGCACTGCAGCAGATATTCTACACTTATTTGGTAAAAATATTACCATAAAAATTGCTAATCATTCCGTTGATCAATAGGCTGAGGCTGAAAAAGCTTATAGCTTTGTTGAATGCAAACTCATTAAGTTTTGGGGCACGCGCATAAAATGACGTTCCATTGCTTAAACCCAGCCCCAGATTTTAGTATAAATTATTATTAGTTAAATAAGAGTGGGTGTAGTTATTTACATTATAATATCTGAACGACAATTCTATTAGCGTCTGTCTATCGATAACGTACCGCTATTACGATAATGACATGCATATATGAAACTACCAATGTCCCCAAACACCTCCACAAAAGTCTTCATTCAATTCTGTCTTATATCATAATGACTGTTACTGCAAATTCTAAATTTTTAACATTAGTATGTGCAAAGCATTATGATGAATCACGTTTGAGAAGTTATTAGGTAGGATTACTTACCTAATTGCACGCTTGCGTCCGTGGATAAACTGTAGAACAGATACAGGCGCCAGCCGGAAGTCGCATCTGAGGATTTGGCGATGCATGAATGCCAGGCATATCAATTAAATCCAGTTAACCTATTGAATCAGGCATATCAGTTCCATATGCTCGAGAAATCTTGGTTGGGCAATTTCAAATTCATTTTTCATGAGTAGTTATATCTTTATGAATAAATCCACAGTTTAATTTCAGTTGCCTTGCCAGGCCATCATAATTCACAAGAAGTATTTTGCTGGTTTAAATTTGCTACAAATTTTCGAGGATGAATTCACAGCTGATCAACAATTTACAACAAACACCGATCCAAGTGCTTCAAGGAATGGCTGAGACAAAGATTGAATTCATGGTGATCTGGAAGCTGAAAAAGGGTGGAATTATTAGTGATAACCCAACATACAACAGTGTATAACGCAAGTACAACAGCTTAATTTTACGCAATATATAGAATAGTAGGCCTATTACAAAAGTCATGCACGATGTACCTATGTTAAAATTGCTACTGGGTCGCCTTACACGGTGAAGAATTAATATAATAGCGTTGAAAAGGAATCATAGTCTACTTTTCATAACTGCTCTCGAATAATGAATATTGACAGTCAAATTTAATAACCTGCCCGTGTCACTTAAACTTTATTTTTTATGGTAATGGAGGTGCATTGGAGACTTGTGTAATGCACATTGTATAAGGTAGGTAGGTAGGGTAGCCAAACGATAAGAAATCGATCAGAAAAATTTAGGAGAAGCAAATATTCATCCTGGACAGAATTCTGTCAAAATTTGCTTTTCGTGACACTTGGTTAGGCTTGACACAACTCACACAAGTGGTTAGTATATACTGATATATTCTCATTCATAACACATGCGAGGTTCCCAGTCGGTCACAGCACTCCGTTAACCACAGAAACGGGCCAATAAACACTGCCAAGAAGATCGAAGTATTTATTTCGCGGTGAAAATTCATATCACTTAGGTGGCGAATCAGAAAAAATTAGTTTTAATTTCGTACGTAATCCGAAGAACTAGTAATATATGCAAACATGATCGCAATCGTCGATTCGACACCTCTAGACGGTCACCGAACGTATCCAATATGACGTCACGGTCCGATTGCAGCCGGCTGTTTTCACGGGAACTGACAGCGTTGTGCACCTCTCACTTCGATGGTCAGACTACATTAAACTAGGTTCGGCTGCTTCGGCAAACTAGCGGGACGAATTTCGGTCATCGTCAGTCAGTCTACGGAAAGAGTTTTTCGGACATTACTGATACATAATCGCACGCATGGTTGAATTAATACATGATCTCACGTACCGACGTGCAAGATAAACTTACAATTAGACGAGTTTTGCTCAATAAATAAAATTTCAATTATTCAATATATGTATAGGATTAGGAACTTCAATATCTCGTGCAGAGCTTCGAAGTAATCTGGAATTTTATTGCGAATCTTCCCGGCAGCTTTGGCTGCTGACACATTGTTGGAATTTACGTGTATAACCAATTTTATTAGCTGTTTTTTTTAAAGGCGTTTGTAAATGAGGAAGCATGAGTTTTTCGAAACATGCATTTCAATCTTCAAAAGCCATGTTACAGTCGGCCGTTAGTGTGAGGCACATCCTATTCACTGCGACTTGAATCGCCTCAATAAACTTGTCACTTTATCTAGGCAGGAGCTGTCCACTTTTTATTGCGAGGCATACAGGAAAATTCTTTAAACACTTGGGCAAGGCAGAGGCTATTGAGCTCTACAATACCTCGTAATACCTCGTAATAGGTATTGTAGCTCTACAATACCTTGCATTATCTCGTACCTGACGTGACCTAAAAATTATTCTATAGCCTTTTTCTGGATAGATGCATGGCTTACTAATGAATATATTGAATGTACGGTTGGTTGACTAAGTAGATTAAAAGTATGCCCTGTATTTTCATAAAGATCACAATGAATTTTATTTCCTATCAATATTATAGACGGTGGGACATTTAAACATTTAGTAAAACTAATGCCCTCCGAACAGTTCAGTGTTATGTTGCCAAATACCTTTTATGGTAACATGCATCGGCTGACAGGCGAAAAGTGTGACAAATTTGAGCGTCGATAGACGGTCCATTGCATTAATGGCTCATTCTATGAGCATGTTGCATTAGAAGTTTACTATATAAGCGCGACGAGACGCTGCCGTGATTTATACTGTAAAGTTCCCTTGCAGCAGCTACACGCAGCCTCCCCTGCTCACTATCTTTTGCATCAGAACGACTATCATACGAAGTAAGTCAGCGGCAATATGATACGATTCTTTTGGTAACAAATATCAATTTATTCTATGCCGAATTAAGTTCCCTGTTCGAAATGAAACATTGAATTTCCTGACTTTATTAGGCCTATGGCTATCCTGTACGTTTCTTCGTTCTTCAGCAATTTTCAGTTACCTCATTTACTTGCTGAAAGTTAAAAAATTATTTCCTGCAACTCTCATTTCACTTTTTCCCACTAATTAGTAATCTCTAATCGAACTGCAACCCAATAAATTTAATTCAAATTTATCTCAGCAGACCATAACGTCCGTCAAACCATTTTACAAACCGAATGCAAGTAGTATCCTCAATTTATTTATTGTGTATCACATTAATTATGTGCCAAGTATCACATACAAATGACTTCGTAGATATTCTTACCAGATATATATCCTCGCCAAAAATCTATATCTTACTCTTGGGGGCAACATATAAGATGTAAAATAAACTTGTGCATTGTGCAATCTAGTATTTATATAACCTAACATAATTGCGAGAGAAATATACAATATTTTTAGCCTATATAGCGGAAAAGAAATTAATGAGCCCTCCTAAGTGTAACATTGAATGAGAAAAATAATGACCTAAATTTTTATACAGGAAATATTCAATGAAAATTATTGTAATACATGCAATATTCCATATTCGTACAATTTGTTTGAAAAAAATGCAACTTTGCTAAGAATTACAGAGCAATATTAAGTACCTAAACTGCTTGCTATTGTTAATTTATAATTTTTCACACTACTTCAAAATTTAATTTGGAAATTCAGGATCTATTCTGTTTCGCGTAAAGGCAGTCGCTCTATTGAGTGCGCTAGTTTCATAGGAAAGCGCAGAAAAAATAGAATTACTTGCCATTTTCATCGCCTCCAAAATTCCTATAGGTAGTTTATGAAGAAATAAGAATCAGCGTTAACCAAACTGGCCTATGTGCAATATGAAGAGGCGTTCTGGCTACTTATATAAGCTTGGCTATTTACACAACACATTCTGTGGGCGAGAAAATAATACATTCTGAATGACTCATGCATACGGTTTAGCAGGGAAAATTAAATTTATACACGAAATCACACTTCAGTTAGATTAAAATTCAATGTTAACTATTCAGTACTATAACAGCTGTTAATCATCAGGCTAATACTCTATCAAAATAGCTAAAGAGAGGGTAGAACTTTAATCAAAAAGGTCCAAAGTACAAGCACGCAATTAAGACATAAAAAACTGCGTTGGTGGAAGCAACATCGGAGTCGACACACAGATTTCTGGAAGCCAACAACACTAATGGTAGAAACACCTGTATCCGCCAAGCAGTTGCCAGGAAGCTAACAGCGTTGGTGGTAGAAACATCTGTATCCGTCAAGCAGTTGCCAGGAAGCCAACAGCGTTGGTGGTAGAAACATCTGTGTCCGCGAAGCAGTTGCCAGGAAGCCAACAGCGTTGGTGGTAGAAACATCGGAGTTCGCCACAAAGTTACCGGGATAACCAATAACAGTGCAGGATGATATGATAGGAACGTCCGAGTTTGCGTACAGTAGCCTGGATGGCCAATAACAGCAGTACTAATGACGAATTGAGTAATCGGAAGTCGTCTCACAGTTGGAAAGTACAGCGGGTACTAGGAAAGCGAGATGTAAAAAGAGGTGACACAGAGTGGCCAAAACATTAAAAGAGAAAAAAATGACAGAAGGCAAAAAAGCGCTTAGTGCATGGCAATTCTATATACTAATGCGGTCTTTCTTCTCTTCATTCCAACAGTTATGACGTCATCAAAGACACGTAACGTACCAGCGATCGGTGTTGTGGTTGCGGTGCTCTGCTGTACGATGCAACAGGCAGGCGCTCAGGCCTGGTTTGCCGGCGCGTGTCCGAGCCCCGCTCCTGTGGCCTACAACGCAGCGTTGGTCAGTCAATATTAATCCTTTAACATGAATCTTTTTGTTAGCCATTCTACGCTTGAATTTAGTGCAGTCAATATTAACACTTTAACCTGAATCTCTTTATTAGCCATTGTACGCTTGAATTTAGTGCAGTAAATATAAACACTTTAACATGAATCTTCTTATTAGCCATTCTACGCTTGAATTCAGTGCAGTAATTGCTGCTACGATTATAAATAACCTGTTTTTTTTACAAACATCAAAACGATTAGTCAATGCAGGCGGATAAAAACTGCGGATTGCGCTCATTTTTACTATTTTATTTATGCTAAGAACAAATTCAGTTTAAGAATAAATGAAATCTAGATGATTTCAATGGAAGCCATTTTAAGGATTAAAACGACAAATGTTGCATTGAATTTAAATTTATTACTTGTTTTTGTGTCTCCCGCAATGTTGCCTTAAAAATTAATTAAATCTATGTTCATATAATTTTTCGAGTAAAAATAAATAGATTATAAAATAACCGTGGTATTTAAAATTACAATGACATCTTCGCGTGCAGCTCACCGGCACGTGGTACGAGGTACGGCGCTATGACTTCGCTCTCGAGACTCTCGCCAAGTGCGTGGCGTGGACCTTCACGGAGACCACGACTGGCACACTCACGGCCAACACAGTCATAACGAGACTGTGAGCAAACTATGTTATATTCATCATAATAATTTGTTATGGTTGCTTTCTGGCATGGCCACAATCAATAGTCATAACTTTACTGTGAACCACAGTAATTCTGAACTCGTCGCTAGATTAGTTAATTCTTGTTCAGTGATACAATTAAGAGCAATTGAATTCCGAACTGAATTGCTTTATCTCGATACGGATCAGCACCCCGAGGCACAGGCCCAATATATGGCTTGCCGGCACAGGTTTTATTGTAAATTCTGGGGTCCTGAAATTAATTTATAGCACAAGTTCAAAATGGTTGTATACCATGAAAAAAATTATATTCAAATTTATGTCTATGCATAGATCATTCAAAATCATTTATTAATTTTTAAACTACTTATTCATTTGCCATAGTTATTTTTTACCGATAGTTCTCGTGAAGTATTTTTGTACAGTACAAAGTAACTTCATTTGATATGAATAAAAAACCTAAAGGCGCATTTCATACGTAACTATCACAGGCCAGATATTTTATAATTGTTTTACTAGAGTCGGGAATTCGACGACGCCCGAAGATCATGAACTCCTGTTTTTTTTTCTATTTCACAACTTACGTTTATTATTCAATGAATATTATTTGAAATTATTTTATGAGATATGCTTCCGAATAGGCCTGATCAGCAGGCTTGTTTTAAGCCTGATAAAAAAATGTAAAAAATCACATTAAAAGAATGGACGACAGGCTCGACTTGGCCAAATCTTCAACGCCGACGTCATAATCCTGCATACTTAATTTGATATTGTTCTAAAATAATGTTAAACACAAATTTTTTGGCCTACGCAGTTTCGGTAGCAAGACGATGACGTCAACATTGACGCGAGTGACGGGCTCCACAAACGCGGACTTCAACTTCAGGATTACCAAGCTTCCTGGTTGGTAGAAGTGATATTTGTTGAGAATTCCATCAAAAAATCTATCTTTTGTTAAATTGTGAGACCAGGTATTTGAACTCTAAAATAATCTTTTCTTATTCTGCATTACCAAAAAATACCCTAATATTTTAAATTAATGCCTTCTCATTTTTCTCAATTGACCAGACGAGTCGAGTTCCACTACAATTCAATTTCTGAACTAAAACTTTGGGCAACACAAAATTTCGCTCATTCATGCATCTTTATAACAGAATATTTTCAGCCAACAGTATGACATTCTTTTTTGTGCATCATTATATTCCCTTTAGCTGGCTCTACCACTGGAGACGAGTGCCGAATCTTGATTATCCACTGAATAGTCAGTGTTTTAATTGTTTCTGTAAAATAAAGAAATAATTTAATAAAAATTCACCGAAAATTAATCATGTATTATGTGAAAACTAACACAGGATATAAACTTAAATTTCTAAAAGATATAATTTCTGTAATATAAGAAGATAGTTATTGGAAATGGAGGTTGAAAATCAAAAACGTTGAATGTTCACGACACGGAAGTCCGTATTCGGCCATTCTACGTTGAAGCCTCCCTTTACAACCGAAAATAAATATGAATTTATTACTTTCTATCTTTTACACAATCGGATTTCGTAATTTTAGATATTTTTATACTGTTGTCTATTGATTATTGGTGCAATTTCCATGCTTCAGGTCTGTTGACCGGGTGGTTCAAGACGCTGAACATGAAGGTGCTTGCGGTGAACGCCGACTACATGATCTTGTGGAGCTGCTCGCCAGCCTTACTGAAGAATTCTCGTGAGTCACGTATTCATCAGTATTTTTCATATAAGTGTTTTTTATAATTACTGATTATCATGGTTTTTATGATGAAATTTTCAACTTTTTATGAGTTTATGACAAGCCAATCCCACTCACAATTTCTTGAAGAAAGTTTGCTTAGAATCTAAAAATTGTCAAATTCCTATAACTTATGACTACACTACAGTATTTCAACGGATGTTTCAACACTCACCAAATGCCTCAGAGTTGCTGTGGGTGTTGACGCGATCACAAGCACCACCAGCCACCGTCATCACAGGCGCGCTCACCACCGTCGCCGCTCTGGGCCTCAACACCAACTCCCTCATCACAGTCAGCCCGACGTGCTGAGAGTTAATGACATTAATTTTTACGAGTGTCAAGTTGTTCAGACAATTCTGCACACGCGGTCAAAATTCAGCTGCTTCTCTTAGAAATTGTTAGCGTCATATAATTATCTCCTCACTGTTAGCATTCATTGTATTCAGGCATATTTATGAGAAAGCATAATGGTTATTTAAACGAATTCTTTCAAGTGGAGTAGCTCCAAATTTGCCACTGTCTAGCTACAAATTTAGACACATTTTTGAAATATTTTCCAAAGCAGCCAATAACTATGACGAAACAAAAACATTCACGTATCAACTTCATAAAATAAGATTTAAACAATTTTTTGTCACTTATTTTAAAGAATAATAAAGTAGAGAAAACTGCAATGAGCGCCTTGAGCGTAATGGTAGTTCGCTATAGGCTAACAACAGTAGTTCACTGTTAGCAATGCTGAAAAACGGTAGTTTTTAATGCATGGCTTGGAGTCGAACTAATTACATGCATGGCATATAAATCTGTCTAAAAAAGTTTGTTTTCAATTTCCGGGCATATAAATACAAATTTAAATATCAACATCCTCCTTATTATCAACATTTACGTATTTTACTATAAACTTCAACAAAATCTTGTTTGGAATTCAATGACCAAGGAACAAACGCAATACACGATGCAGCAATTGAATCGAGTTTTCTTATCCATTAAAGATGCAGAAGGATTTAAAAGTACAGAAACGCTGTTAATTATTGGCTCTCGCCCACAAAGCGCAAAGCGATAAAGATTTTTCCACTTATCCCTGCGTTAAGATTGATGATTTCTCATGAAGATATAGGAAGAATTCCCAGTCCAGGACGATCAAATAGGTGATAGTTTCCTTATAGAGAAGTGATGTTTAGTGAAGCTCTTATGCATATATTTACATGCAGATTAAAGTCATGAATGCCTCATATGAATTGAGCATTCATTCATGATCAGAGATGAAAAAAGGGAAGTATTATTGCACAAATAAAAATCTAGATAGTGGAAAATAACTGCGGTTCAATCTTTGACCAAATAAATATCTATATTTCAATAATTTGTTGTTGGCATAATATATTTGGCATTATTGTCTACCAATCTTACTTATATTAATCATAAAAAGGCGTTTCCAGGAATTCCGTATCAGAAACCGACACGTGCAATATCTATGGATGGTGTATGCAATAGAACCATATCAGGAAGAGAGATATCTGTTGTAATGCAACTTTTTGAACGAACCCATCTAGTATTGAATGGAAATTTGGATTGTTTCCTCATTAGACCACGCTAAAAATTTTTCTGGCATGATATGTAAGAGAATATAAATCAACTATGAATATATTGCGCTTTGACAATCGTCATTACTAAACTTGACACATTCGCAAGATGAACAAAACTTTGATGAACGAGCAATAGGTAAATAAATTCGAAGGCAAGCAAACTATGAGTGAAACCACGGCTGAAACAATCTTTGATTTATTGAAAAAACCACAAGATGACGGATATTGCCATCAGTTTCAATAAATGGCTTTATGCTGCCTGAATGAAATGATGTAGCGGCCCCTCTTCAACGTGGGTGAAGTGGCAACGGAGCCGCAACTCGCTCACTCGTCTGTTCAACCGGTAAATTCTGAAGAGTTAAAAAACGGTGGTCAAGTAAGGCACAAAGTTAGATCGGACGTGGAAAGCCAAAGCTCGATTCGGTAAAGGGTCATCAGAGACAAAATTCGCGACTCGTAGTTCAAAAAACGTCGAGCAAGTGCAAATTCTTTCCACACGTTTTATATTGGGTGTAGAATATACACCCAATATATTGGGTGTAGATTCTCAGAAAAACTATGTAAATTCATAACTGATATAAAAAATATTAAAGTAATTTATACGGGATTTATTATATACTCGGGTCGTAAGTGAAAGGAATTGAATTTAGTATACCTCATCACCTCTTGCTCCGTGCCCAGAAAGATAGGGTGACATACCTGAAATACTAAACAATCCTTGCATGGATTGCTGGTGCTGAGTTGGTGTCGGGGCTAGTCCACACCCACGCAGAGGAAGGTTGCTAGGGTCATGTTGTGGTAGCGTCAGCGAGGAACCAACGGGCCGTGGAGGTTTGTCGTAGAACAGACGACGCAGGTGCTCACGTCCATCGTTCCGACCGAGCTCAGGCAGGGCTTCCAATAAAAGCTTTACTCCATGGGGTCAACAGAAGAGCAGGGGCTGAACATCACCACTGGGTATCTTGGTGCTCGATGGTGGCACAAAACGAGGTCCGGATGAGATACAGCAGCACCCTGCGAGTTAATGTTGCGGAGTTGTGCAACGAACTGCCTGAAATTCTTGATAGTGGGCGTGAAGTGAAGTTGCATGGTCGAAATGTTAACGTTAGAAGTACCCCAGGCGTCACCCAAACCACAGTAGGCACAGAGCAAGTAATGAGACCATGACCCGGAAATTTGAAACTATTTAAAATTATTCAAAACTAAATCTTAGTTTTGTTTACAAGACCGTGCCCTCAATATATGTACGAAGATAATAAATTAGTTTTTTAACATTTAACGCGGATATTGTACAATTATGTAGTTGTTGTCTAGATGGTATTAGTGACTAAAGGTATAGATGACTGAGAATAGAATAGTTCGGTAGAATATTTTCCAGTGTCACCGGAATGCCTCTCTTAAATATTTATTTGCGGCAGGCACAACGGGGATGTAAGAGTGGGAGGATGCATGGATGCTCTAAGAGTGCTCAAGCAAGATGAGCATGTCGTGACTGATCTAGGCCGCAAAAAATCACGCACTGCAACTCCAACTCATTTTACACCAACGTGGTAAATAAATAGCTGTTCAAATATCTTCCTCGACTAAATCTGTAAGGTCACTCGCTCTTTTTGCTGGAAGATGAATCATTTAATTATTTCATTCATAAAACTGAAACAAATTCATCTTATCTGAAAACGGAGCAGATGTTCAGATTTGACTAAGAAATTGCGAATTGCGAAACCGTTGCATTTGGTCAAAAATATTCAAATGTACGTTCCACTGCCTCCGACTCATAATGACAAATCAAACGCAGCTACAAAACTTTAGAACTTCATCCAGCCAAATATAATTAGGTACTAATACTCATCAATGTCCGTATACCGAAGTTTAGGGTCACAAATCTGGGCAAGCATGATCGATAATTTATTCGGCGTTGAACTGCCATGAGTTTTATGACCTCACACTTAATCGAGGTATCATGTTAGCGCCTGTGAACATTAATCTATTGATTTGAAATTAAATACCACATCTTCATGCATAATTGAAGCGGCGCTGAATTGCTGGCAATCAAGCGATACGGCGGCGGTGGCAGCGGTAATCGACATGTGGGACAAATTGCGAGTACGTTCCTATCGATTGATATGCGAATGTCTTTTATATCAATCAAAAGTAGTGTTACTAGGAGTAGAAGGTTTACTACGAATTTTATGTCCAGTTAAAATATTGAAGTTCAATAGTAAATCAACCACGAACCAAGTGAACAAGATCGATTGGGTACGTCATTAGTGAAAACAATTCTCTGCAAATACCAGCCTTAAGATTCTTCTTGTGTTCTATGAAACGCATAATAAGAAAGTTCATTAAAAATGTGTCAAATAACAATCGCCTTTGCCAAATAACAAGCGCACAATAAGTTTCCTTGAATTACATTCCAGTTCATAGTCTAATAATGGCGTCAAGGGAAGAGATAAGACTTGCCTACTTTTTAGGCCCATGCCCATTAATGGGCATAAACTGCAGATAAAAAACAGCTTTTTGCAGGAACACAACATGGAAGACATTTATGACGAATTATAGTGAAATTAATACAAGTTTATTTTTTTCCAACAATTAAGGTATAAAAATTTTGAACTTTTTCGAATTTCAGAGAAGCCTGTGTGAGAAGTCTCAGAAGTCGCTCAGAAGAGCTCAGCTACAAATTACTGTTTAGGCCCATCTAAACATCCATTCAATGATTTGAACGTAATAAGGCTCTCTATTGTTGCTCAGCTTATCAATGAGCATTCTTTCAAATACTTCAACCAATGGCAGAAATTGACACGAAACTGATCATGATCTCGAAGCTTTACAACGGTACCAAGCTTTACATTTTAGATGATCGCGTACCAAGTCAAATAGTTCACCAGTAGGCAAAATATTGCATAGTAGTACGAGAGTCGTAATTTACGTTATCATTAACACTAGATCGTATATCACGATCAATAATGCATTCATGGCGTTGAGAATGAATCCTGGTTGATGTAAATTTTTTGCAATGAATCATTGATTGATCCAAACACGGGTTGGCCATGACAGTCAAAACAATCAGGAGTCATTATAACATAATGCGGCAAACTATTGGGTATTCATCATCTACGTTTTTGGAGAAAGCTTTACAGGACGCTACAAACACAGATTGTATAATTTAACGCACTGACTTTCAGGACAAACTAACGATCGAACTGAGCTTCACTTAATCGAATTATGTTGCTTACTTAGGATAAGTAACTTTACGTCAATTTGAAAAGGTACGGTCAAAACACCAATTTTAATACTCCTGTGAATAAGTCAGAAACATAACAAAAGTCGGCAACCGGAATAAGCTTTGTTGGCCTATTCTTCAGCGCTGTCACTACTATACTATACTACTGTACTATAACAAATCTGTTTTTGGAGTGTCTACTATACTATTTCAAATCTGTATTTGGAGTCTCTACTATACTATTTCAAATCTGTATTTGGAGTGTCTACTATACTATTTCAAATCTGTATTTGGAGTGTCTACTATACTATTTCAAATCTGTATTTGGAGTGTCAGAACCTATAATAGTTCATTTAGAGCCTCAGAGTGGAATTAATCTGACGTATACTCGCATATCTACCGCCCTGTTACAGTTGACCGTTAGTGTTAAGCAGATCCTATTCGAAACGTCTTTGTAAACCTGTCACTTTAGTTAGGCAGAAGCTGTCCACTTATTCTTTGCAAGGTATGCATGAGAAATTCTTTGAATACAAGCGTCTTGAAGAATATGTTAATCAGAGCGCTACGTGCTATACCTCGTATCAGATGAGGAACGTTCCATTATACGACGTAACCGAATGATTCATTCAAGAGGATTAACTGAAAGATTTATTATATGTAATGACTATACAGCTGGCACGAAAAAAGAGGGTCAATGTTAAATGTTTTTCTGTTTTTGCTCAGGTCTAGCTGATTATATTTCCTTAATTATAGTAAGGTCATATTTTCAACAATAAATAACTTTTATTTATCGAATAATGCTGTCGTTGGAATTTGCGGCTCGACAAAAGGGCAGCAATAATTAAAATTCTACCTATTTAAGCACGGATCAGCTGTACTTCTCTTGTATGACTCATCTTTCGATAATTAATCTTGCATTGAGAGAATTGTATATAAGGGAGCTCCGGCCATGGACATGCAGCACATAGCTCCTATAGCCACTACCACTACACAGCACACTGTCTTTACTTTCATCAACGTTTAGACGATTATTAAACATAGTAAGTAAACTTTTCGCATCTAAGTATCTAAGTATAATTTTTATTTTTGGCTCACGCATTCTCAGTTTCTAAATGCTTTAAAATAAATTAGAGTTTAGCATCAGAAGCTTCGGTAACACAAAAATTTGTTTAAATTGAAAAATTTAATCGATTTAGTTTTATTATATTTTTCCATGTACTGCAGCGTTTATTAAGGCCATTTTATCAGTAATTCAAAAATAAAATTCGAAAATATCGCATATCTCATCTTTTCCTTTCCATTTTGAGAATCGAAGTTGACTATAAATTGACTAAAAATTGGTAATAATCCACGCGTAATCTTTGTTGATTTTTAAAAATAATAAACTTTTTTGATTCCAGCGTCTGTCAAACTAAACAAAATGATGGCAGTTATTGTTGGCAATTCTTTATTGCAAATCACATTCATGTTATATGAAATTTCTGCCATCAAATGGATTATTAAATTAATTTTAACATCAAAAATCACATAGGGCAACGTGGGGCAGCGCGCCCCCCACTTTTTTTAAACTAAATTTTTGATGAAGTTTTAATTGATACGAGGTCATTCTTTGTTTTGTTTAAAGGTGCAACTAATGAGGAATGTATGATGTGAATTAGACGCCTATAGAGTTATTCAATTTTTAATGAAACACTATTTTGTAAAAAGTGTCAAAATGGGCCCATTGCCCCACCCTTGGGGCAATGGGCCCATGGGCTTGGGTTAGCGGCAAAAAAATTTTTATCTGGACTAAAACAGTTATTCACAAAGAACTTAATAACGCAAACACTTAGCAAAACGTAAATCCGTACACTTCATCCCAGTGAAACTGCCGACCGGCGGTAGAGAACACGGACCAATATCTGCCATACTTAGCGAGAAACCCGCTATGGGCCCGTGACCCGCAGTGGGCTCGCTGCCCCATGTTACCCTACTTTATTCCTACCAGACATTCATTCCCTCGGCCAAATATACTAATCATCTACGTCGCTAGATATATTTGGAAAACGTGACTTCTTACAGCTAATAATAGAATATTGTCACTGATCCCCACATATTCGTAATTATTATGAATAGCGCCCCAGTATCAATCCAAGTAACTACATTTTTGCGTCATGTAATTGCACTAGCTAATGTCATACTATTATCATTTATACCTTCATAACAAATTACCACAAATTAGTACTCAGTATCAATCCCAAGTAACTAAATTTTCCCGTTTCTTAATTGCATCAATTAATTTCATACTATTATCATTTATACCTTCATAACAAATTACTACAAATTAGTACTCAGTATCAATCCCAAGTAACTAAATTTTTCCGTCACTTAATTGCATTACCTGATGTCATACTATTATCATTTAAACCCTCACCACAAATTAGTACTCAGTATCAATCCCAAGTAACTACATTTTTCCGTCACTTAATTGCATTAGCAAATGTCATACTATTATCATTTATACCTTCACCACAAATTACCACAAATTAGTACTCAGTATCAATCCCAAGTAACTACATTTTTCCGTCACTTAATTGCATTAGCTAATGTCATACTATTATCATGTATACCTTCATAACAAATTACTACAAAGTAGTACTCAGTATCAATCCCAAGTTTTTACATTGTCTCTTCACTTCATTCCACCAGTAATGACGTCAGCAAAGCTACCAGCGATCAGTGTTGTGGTTGCGGTGCTCTGCTGCACCGCTCAGCAGGCAGCCGCTCAGGCCTGGTTCATCGGGACTTGTCCAGCACCCGCGCCCGTTCCCTACGACGCAGCGTTGGTCAGTCAATATAACCTTGAACGCGCAACTCTCGAAGACAATCAAAGACTTGCATTTAAGTAATTTGTATTTTTATGATAAGTAATTTGTATTCTTATTTGTATTCTTATTCTTGCATTCAAGTAATTTGTATTCTTTAAGTAATTTGTACTCTTATGATAAGCGAATGCTATCTAACGAACACCATGACTTGGTCCGTTACTTAACTCTTGGGCGCGCAACTCTCGAGGACAATCGAAGACTTGCATTTAAGTGTGGTAATTTGTATTCTTATGATAAGGGAATGCTACTAACGAACACCACGATTGGTACGTTACTTAACACTTGGGCGCGCAACTTATGAAGAGCGTCTACCACCCACCCATCAACTTTAGTCACTAATAGTAATAGTTCTTGTAACTCGTATAGTTCGTATAACTTCGTATAGTTCTTATAACTCCGTACCCAATCATTACTGGTTTTTAAATTAAAGCCAACAGCAGACAAGAAATAGACCGCTACGTGTACTCCGGCCGCGACGCGTGCTTTTTCGAGTTTTGATAGTTTGGCCTCAGGAGAGTAGCATGATAATTTGTTTACCTATTACAAATGTCCTCAACTTATGTACGAACACCATAATGATTTTAGACTTCTTTTAAAGCGCAAACAATAAATTGTGAATTTAAAAAAATGCTATTAAGTCGTATGGGCAACCTATTTGTTTATAGAGTCGAAACATGAAGATTATTTTAATAAGATATTGCATCAAATTATGTGGACTTGATTTTTTGAATCGAACTATATCTGTAAAACATTGACTGGATATTTTAAACAGGATTGTGTGCAAATTAAATTTAATAAGAGTAGTGTTTAGACATAAGTAGATTAGTTATGTGTTTAGTAAAATTATTAATTAGGTGATACGATCAAATTCTCCAAAAAATAATCAGTAGGTCCGGTGACGTGCAGATCACGGGCGTGTGGTTCGAGGTTCGGCGCTACCACTTCGTGCTAGAGACCGCTGCTCGCTGCGCGTCGTGGACGTTAACAGAGACGGCGCCTGGCATGATCACTGTCAACACGGACATAACTGAACCGTGAGAAAATCATTCATAACTTGTCACCATAATTTGTTATGGTTGTAAACTGGCATGATCACTGTCAACGCGGACATAACTGAACCGTGAGAAAATCATTCAAAACTTGTCACCATAATTTGTTGTGGTTGTAAACTGGCATGATCACTGTCAACACAGACATAACTGAACCGTGAGAAAATCATTCAAAACTTGTCACCATAATTTGTTTTAGTTGTAAACTGGCATGATCACTGCTAACGCAGACATAACCGAAATATGGCTAGATGAAATTAAACTGTGGCAAAATCAAGGTTAATTTAAACCCTGAATATAAACTAACCGCATACCATTGTTTCCTGTACAGTCTCGGCAACAAGAAGACGATGTTGTCGACTCTGGCGCAGGTAACCGGCTCTACTAACGCAGACTTCAACTTCAGGATCGTCCAATTGCCTGGTTGGTAAAAACAGTACGTTATTGGCAAAGATTCACGTGGTAAAATGTTATTAATACATTAATTTATGATTTCAGTAAATATAATTTATCAGAAAATGCATAACATGTCAGATATTGTGTTGAAAAAAAAACGCGTGAAAATTTTGAAACTTTTTAACTGATCTCAAAGTGATAAGTGATATGAAATCCGTCGTATTGATTTTCTCGGTGGAAATTTCTTCACTTCACCAATAAGAAATTTCTTCACTTCACTTCTTTACTTCGTATACCTCAGTTATATATCTATAAAAATTCACAGAAAACAGTACGCAAGATCCTTCTTATTCACCATTTATACTTTAGCGATTACTGAAAGAATTAATTGATGTGGCAACGGCTGTGATTTACACCGAATTGGCCTGTAGAGTACACGCTAGTTAATACCGAAATTCGGACATGGCTCGTCGATCGATCAGGATATGTTGTGGCTGAGAACCGTTCAGGCTAAACAAATACTGAACGCATTTTACATCAATCGCTAAGCATCAGCTGATTCCCTTCTAGATTAATCCATTTTTTGTTCGTCCTGTTGAAATGATCATCGACCCTGTGCTAAGCAATGGACAAGCAGTAATTCAATTATAATTGTTCATGTCTAATATTTAATCATAAGTTCGTAGAAGATATTATTATGAGATATACTACAGTAAATTACTGTTAATTGTATGACAGGAAGCTTCAAAATTCCTACATGATCGTTGCAGAAGTAGGTAAAGTCGAAGTCTTAGAAGATATTGTTCTTAGAAATTAGAAAAAATTGTTGAAAAAATAACAGTATTTAACTGTTATTGGCTCCAAGTCCTTTAGTTAATGGCTTAATTCAACACAGAAAAAGTTACCACTATATTTTCAAACTAAAACTGAATTACAATATATTTACCGTTTAATTTTTTATGCTAAAGTTATATTATAGGTTCCGATTATATTATTATTATATTATTATATATATTCTTATTTAGTATATATAATTATTATATTATTAAATAATTAATTTCTTGCATATAATAGATTTATTATTATTTTATATTATGTTTGCCAGCATAATTTCAAGTGAATACGAAAACTTAAAAATGTTTACGATAGGCCCGGCGGCTTTATATTGCACTGCAGTGAAAATTCCCATTACATTCTCAAACCGAAAATAAATTAATGCATCCCCTATCTTTTGTGCTATTCTATTTCGTAATTTTACATTTAATGATATTGTATTATCAGATATTGATTGAGGTAATTTCAATGCTTCAGGTCTGATTGCTGGATTGTCCAAGACGCTGAACATGAAGGTGCTTGCAGTGAACGCCGACTACATGATCTTGTGGAGCTGCTCGCCAGGCTTGCTGAAGAATTCTCGTGAGTCACGTATTCTTTAGTGATCATTTTAGTTCAATTAATATTGATAATTATACTTATTATTACGGAATTGATGAGATAATTGACTAATTTTTATTTAACTCGTGGAAATATTAACTAAAAGTACAAGACTCGATGGCAGGCTTATCCAGGCCTATTCTTCAATGCTGAAGATACTATACAATACTAAAACGCTACATTTTTCGAGTTCATTTGAGTAGAAACCGAGTTCGAGTAAAAATAAAAATCATATCATGAACATAAATCAAACATATTATTAGCGTAACTCTATCATATCATAGACATAAATCAAATACAAGTCAAACATCATAGCTTAACTTAATCATATCGTAAACACCGATCAAATACAAGTCAAACATGAAAGGTTAACTCAATAATATCATAAACATCAATCAAATAGAAGTCAAATATATCATAAGATAAAATAATTATTCACGAAATGACTCAGAGTTGCTGTGGGTGTTGACGCGCTCACAAGCACCGGCGGCCACCGTCATCACAGGCGCTCTCAACAACGTCGACGCTCTGGGCCTCAAAACCAACTCTCTCATCACAGTCAGCCCGACATGCTGAGTGTCGCTTGTGGCAATAATTTTTATGAGTGTCAAGTTGTTCAAACAATTCTGCACACGCGACAAAAATTTAACAGCTTCTTCTCCACAAATTTGAAGCCACAATTATCTTTCAACTGACAATAGCAGAGCGCACTAAATATCATTGGGCATTTTTAATTACTATCTTATACAGTAAGATGAGAAGTGAAACTTTTAAACTTCCTTCTGTCGGTAAAAGTCTTTAATGTCTAACTCAACATTCACAAATAATTATCGAAGTTTGTTTATTTCCATCGAAATCGTTTATCACATCGCAGCAAAGAAGTTTCAAAATTAAAAGTCTCCCTTTTTATACTTTATACGAAAATTTGAACTGACTTTTACAATCACCGTATATTCCAACGGATTACAACAGCGAAAAGTCAAAGTCGCGAAACGATCAATTCACTATAAAATTTACTTTAATTTTAATCGGTTCACGACTGAGATCACGTGAACTGAATTGCACCCGAACACCAGTTCTTATGTGATTGAGATTTAACATGATAAATTATTTGCGAATTTCAATAAAAGCGGAGAAATCTCTTTCGTTTGGGGCTCAGTGTGCAATTTTTTCAGCTACATGTTCCAAATGCTCTGTTAGAGCATACACATGTGTTGAATATGAAGATGCTGAATTGATCAAAATTCATAGTGAAGCAGGTTGAACCAATCTTTTTTAATCCATTTGTGAGGCAGAAACGATATGATCCAGAGAAGCTGTCAAATATTTACTTCTTTTTTAGAGTAACAATCAAATTTTTGGGGATTAGCTAGGCAAATCTATCTGACAGAAAAAAATCTATCGTTTTTCTTCCAGTCCAATCACTCAACAGACAAATTTCATAAAATGAAATATTAATTGATGCAAAATTAATGAAATACAACTCGTCATACTATATTTAAAGAATGACGATAATTAGTATTAATCTGTAATTATCTATATTTAGCACAACCAATTTGCAGGAACAAGTCCATATGAACATTATTTACAGTAATTTTTTATGGTAAAATTATTAGGTTGGCCATATAACTATGAATTAAACGTTGAAGACCTCGCTCTGATAATCAAAATTATTGGGACGTCTATAACTGAAAACTACGCACAAAGTCACCTTGCATTTACGAACTAAAAAGTAATGTATGAACATATTTTAAGCCAAACGTTGAGCAGCAATATGTTCAATAATATCTTCCACAGAAAAATATGGATGAATGACACACATGCAGACTGGAAAAAAAATTTCTTTAGAGTATTTTTGGGTGCCGACAGAAGGCGAGACGTAAATATTTTTCGTTGAAGGCGAGCGAGTGAGCAAGGTCGGAGCAGATGGGTTAGTGGCAAATCTATAGGTAGCAAAACATTGTTCTCTACTAGCAGATCGAATATTTTTGTCCACCATGTGGATATGAAACAAGATTCACAATATTTTTCTCACGTATGTATTGATAGAGAAATCATAGAGACGAGGTGCTAGCAAATAGACTTGGGCAGATGCGAAGAGTGAAAATTGGCTAGTGCTGGAAAAACAACGAATATTAAGCTTTGCGTTACTGCAGATGAAGATAATAAATAGTAAATAACAATGATTTTTGAAAACTTCGGAGTGAAAATTGTCCAATGGCCTTTAGGGTTTTTTTTTTTTGCGTAGACACTTAAAATTATTAATTATTGAACGAAAGATATATGCAGGAAATTTCTTTCTAGATTCCTAAAATTTAATTTTCCATACTCAAATTTGTCCATAAATGGCCATGAACCTTTTCCTTTAATAGTATGGAAGGATACGTGGTGAGTTCCAGAGTTCGGTAAAATGAATGGGTCTTGTTGTCTAACAGTAACACTTAATTTCTGCAAGTAGCACTGACACGCCCTTTGCCTGGGCTAAACTGGGTCATAATGACCCACACAAAAGCAAAAAATGTATCAGTATTCACTGCAGTGAGTGACAGAGAGCGCATTTTCTCTTCCCTCCGTCCGTAAAGTCACGGACGGACGGACATGACGAGCACAATCGCGCCTTTTTTCCGTAAATGAGAAAATGCGCTAAAAAGCATCACTATTTAGACAAAGTTCCACCAATTTCCCTGAGTGATATATACCCCCCATCAAACATTAGTCAGCTGTCCAACTTTCGAACAATTAATCGTTGCTATAAGCTTCATCATAACTCGTGCCGACATCGTTTGGTGTGAAAGACGACGCTATAATGTGCTGGAGAAGAAGCAGTGCAAGACATAGAGGGAATTGTGGCGCAATTTTCTCAATGAACGACAGAATATGACAAGATATTTGTCATGATATTTACAATCAATGATGTTATTTTTATTGGCTGATGCATTCATTGGCGGATGATGAATCCCATGACGGGTGATGCAGCGTGGTTTCATTTGTCGCTGTTTGAAGATCAACAGTTCAAAAACTCAAGTACGGTACCTATTCTATAGAATAGAATAGAATAGAATAGAATAGAATAGAATAGAATAGAATAGAATAGAAGTGTCGGCACTGAAGAAATAGGCCCATGGCCTGTTGCCGAAACATTATAGTACACATTATACATTAACATTATACATTATACTATAGCAACAGAATGTAGAATGGAGTTGAAAATCAACTCATTCGCGATACGACGCAGTCATCCGCAGTTCACAATATTTATGTACTTCATAAAATTCCTGAGCTTATGTAAATCTATGATGGAAATTTTTAATTTAAGTCCTCATAGGACTTGAATTAAAATGAAATTTTGTATCATTGATACAATGTTTCCTTGATAATGAAAATTTATTGTCACAATTTTAATTGGAATATTTTGTTGCCTTTTCATTTATAGCGTAACTTCATAAAAATATTATTATAAATTTTTATTCTTTAACAATTGTGATTTGAACAATCGGTAAACTTGTGCATAAACGATATTTTTCCTGGTTTTCTATTCACTTTCGAATATAACTAACATGTGTACGTCAAACCTTGCATGAAGTTCATTTTACAAATCCAGCTGTTCGAAATTACAACAAAAAATATTTATCATATTTTATAACGCGAAAGATGAGCCCTTTCTATTAGCCAAGCTCATTTCAGAAAGATGGAATGCGTTTTCGAAAAATAATAATAAATTTACTAGACCGAGCGACTACTAAAGGACTGTACACATCTCGCAAACTTCTTTTATCAAAAATTGTGACTTGATTATTTTTAATATTTTTTCATGCATTACTGCTAATTTTCTAATAAAACAGTAGGGGCATCGGGATCGCACCATTCACACACAATCTTCATGTCATGCAACTAGAAGATCTACCGCTTGGCAAGACATCATCGGTAATGACCAGAATTATCGTACCTGGTCTGTTCTGCTGCCTTTGTAATGGCTATGGTTATTTCTTTTAGCACTCATGCCTACTCATACAGTAGCTTTTTAATTGTGTAACAGTTGCATGCCGGCTCTATAAGAAAAACAAGACCATTTTACAACGCTTGATGTTTTGTATAGAATTGCTGACTGCTGAATATTCTACTTGTAATATACATCGATAAAAAAGAAAATATTTGTGTTTTCGGCCACAAAACCTATGTATTGACTTAACAAATTATTAAGTGACTTGGAGAGAGAGAACTGATGCGGCTTCAGGATTTTAATGCTTACGAATTATTTGGGGCAAAAGACTAATAATTATTGACAGTTGACGATCAACGCCGACAAAAAGTTTTGCAGTTGTCGTGACTTTTTCGAAGGGACCCGCAATAATACGTTGACAAGTATTTATACCAGTCAGTAACTCCATTGGCTGTTGTCGGATGAACAACAAAAAGCATTCCAATGATACCCAAACGATCAAAAAAAGTCCGTGCCATGCAGCTACAGCATATTTAACATAAGCAATTTAAAGATTAGTCCAGTCGTGTCGGACACTTCAATAGCGTTCTTCATAAACTCATACTCAAAAAATGAGGAGAGTTTGGTCTCTATGAATAGGATAAAATGCCTTTATGAATAATTATTGCCGTGATTTTTGTTTGGAAGAAATACACGGATGCAAACACGCTTCCACTGCTCGTTGAATTCAAATGAATTATAATTCTTCTTGGTTTGATGAATTTGAAAATGAATCTAGGATATTTATTGATAATACGGCCTGGAACATTTAAATTACAAATTAAAATATTTCTAATGATATCCATCTGTCGAAAACTCAAATATTGTGATTTTATTCATCAATAACAATGAATCGATGAACCATGTAATTCCATTCTAGATTCTAGGCTTCACCCCGTATCATGATAAAACAGACGTGGAGACAATAGAAGGCTTCGCGTATTCTTTGTACGAAGACAAAAGCAGTTCGAATTTAACATTAATAAGCACGGAATATTCTATTCGGCTGTTCTATTGACATCGGTGATGGTACGCCGAGATGGAGACGTTGGAATGACGTCGTAACGGCTGAATGAATTCTAAGACGCAGTGACAAGGTCTTAGCAAACTGAATATCTGATAACAAACAAATGTGTGACTGGACATCATGAATACAATCGCTGTATGAGATGTGTTGCTCACAGTCCAAAATATTATTGGTAACGGTTTCTATGACTAAATATTATTTCCACAAACTCTTACATTTTGCTTCACTGGGAAGTGTGAGGTTTCATTGCCATAATAGATTGCTTCATTGCTAAATGATTTAATTGCTTCTCAGTAGCGATACTATTACGCTGCAAACATTATACATTATTAATAGCAGCCTCGACCATCTTCCACGCGGCTTAGTAGTTCGCATTACTCATGAACGACGGATGGCAGCCTGCCTACCTAATGACTATCGACCGCGTGTTCGGCTCTTCATGGGAGCCTCTGAGAATATCGTATAATATCTTATATATTCAATGTGAATTGTTTGGACATTGACTTAGCGTCAACTTGCTGACTAACTAACCTCAGGAAATTCCACGCGATCAGTTAAATAAAGGTGTCCGTCCGGTCACGACGTCTTTGACTTCAACTCCACGAACATCAACAACAATTCACTGCATCATCATCCGAAAAATTTCAATTAATTTTATATATATTTGTAGAAGTTTGTATTTTTGCTTGCAGCCAGACATTTTATAAATTTAGACTATTCGAGCAAATATCCGCTTGATTCGAAATATTTCGAATTTATTCGAATTATTTGAATTGAAACCATGCATGAAACATTGAAGAACATTTTTAACGTGATGAATGAAAATTTATTCATAAAGTACAATTAAAAAATGATTCAAATTTCAAAGAGGGGGTTAAATGGGAGTTAAATGATCAATTTTGATCATGATAGGTCTTCCTATGAGTAATATGCTATGATTTGAAAATTATTAACAATTATCAACACTTGTCTGTGAGCTCCCAACGGCTGTCAGTTCAATAAATGCAATATTAATTAAATGATCTTGAAATTTACAGGCGACTCAGATGGTCTTTACAAAATTAGAAGCGAATGGCTCGGATGTGGATAGATGCTGTCTCAGCAAAGTGCTGAAATTGATACCGAATACAAAAGGTCTAGAATGCGACCGATCAGATAACGAGGAAGAATTTTGTTTTGCTGGGTGATATGAAGTGTTAAGTGAAATAGAAAGATATTGGGGTAGGCGGAGACAAGTTTGTCTCGACTATGTATTAACAACTCATTTAGTTGAATATCCTGGCTCTGTACTGGTTATACAGCGAATAATTCTTATTGATTGCGGTCTAATCAACAGGTGTACCATCACATTTAAATCTTCCTCTGCTGAGAATAGATCCCCAGATACGAAATAAATTTCCAATGACTAAGCAAGTTGAAAAATGTGTCGAAAAAAAACATAATAGCTGTTTAAAATTTGTTTGCTAAATCTTGCATCGGTTGTCTGCTCATAAATTTTTTACGACACTCGCTTCAAAATGATCTTACGAAACTTGTTTCATTTAATTACACTCACTTTATACTTGATGTTAACGATGCCAACCTCACTGCCTCGCGGGACATCTAAACATACGCAGTTAAATAAAAGGCTTCCGGCTTACAGCTCAGATCGGATTTCAGCATTTCAGCATAAGTATTATAGAGAGGACATCTGCTGCGAGATGAGATCACCGCAACAGGTGCAAGATCTGCAGGGATCTTCTATTGCGATTGGCTTCGCCTCGGCAGAAGAGACACTTGTTGATCAAACGTTTAAAGCGAGAGACATGAAAATCTTGGGTAAATTTCTTGCCGATTTCGCCCACAAGGCAAGAGTTGATTTCATTGGACTGTGTTCCGACGAAGTTGATGGTGAGTACAAATGTTAAAATCTAACAACTTTTCCGCTTTGAGAGTATAAAAGAAGAAAAATTTTCGTCATCAGTAGTAAATAGAATTGAAAAAAACATTCCATTCATGTTGAGTTGAACGAAGAAATATGTCTTCCATTGTGACAGGACAGAGTATAATAACGGAAAACTATTACATTTCAACCATAGAGAGTCGAATGATGAAAGCCCTTATTTATACTATCTCAATACTGATTTCCTATATTTATCTGAATATAGTATATGGTAAACTATACCATAGTATGGTATATTCATCTGAAATATTCATCTGTGTTGCACACCAAATCTGCTGATGAGGGAATGATGCACACCAAATCTAATTTAAATGAACAAAATAAAATGCTTACGTGAGTGGCAGATGCGAAAAAATATTGTTTGAAATCACACACATGTTCCAATCTAAAGGCTTCCTATAGAAACAAATTTTTGTATATACACGCACCATAATAGATTAGCCTTAAATAACGGTATACTATGGACAAATAATTTGAACAAAAAATCTATGCTCGTTCCTTTTTCGCAGGCATCATCCCACATTACCTTAAGATTCTCAAGTCATCGATCATTCGATCGGCCGTTGCAGCGGGTTCTTGCGAAAGCGTTTCGTCTCCAACAAGCATCCCGGGCTGTCCAAAAGTTCCCATAAGTTACAATACTCCCAACGCTGGCAGACGTACCCCCCCAATGTGTGAGCGTCATATAACCGAAATGAAAGTTTACGCCATCGGTGAAGTTTTAAAGCCGTCGGTGCAACAGGAAATGGCAAGAACTTACGATGATACAAGAGGCACAGTCATGCAGATGGTGCTGGCTCGTGGGCCAGTCGCAAGCAACATCGCAGGCAGGGGCATGATGTGGACCCTCGCCGAGTACAAGGTTTGTGATGTTGAAGATACAAACAGTCGACAAATACAGTTTAATACAGGACACAAATATGGATTAATAGACATGGCATGGAGAGTTGAAGGAATTCGTTAACGTCGTGCATGCCATTTTTGATTGATCAGTGAATTATGTTTTGACGTATAATAATGATCATCGAAATGACTAAGGAATAAAATATACTGTAAATGCAATTATAGAATAGTTTCAAATGAGAACGATAGTGATATCTTACCCTGCTGACCTCTTAAGTGAAAAAATACCACACTGATTTACATGCCTTATTACATACATATATACATATTTTCATTTTTAGTAGTTCATCCACTCAACAGAGGAAAAATCCCCTGACCCTTGAAAAAATCTCAATGTGACTCTGCAGTAGCGCTGTAAAATTTATTGATCTTTTCAGTCTTCGGGTGCCGTCAAAGTTGACGAGATTTACCAGTTTCTCGATGCCGGTGGGTTTGTGGAAAAGTTCATTGGCGTTTGGCGAGAAGCTACAGGCATGGACACAGACGTTGAAGAATTGGGCATCGGGCCAATAAATTTCATGGGGAACACTCTGCTTCTTGCCAGCTTTCCGGTGAGCTTAATGTTAAGTCCAACTTAAATATTATGCACGATACGTATTTGTGTGATCTTCTGCTTTAACTGCATTTATTTTTCAATACCTCTTTGATTTATTATGTTCGCATGAAATTAATTCTGGTTGCTTAGACCGAAAAGATACAGGTGGGAAAATGAAGCTTAAAAGGATTGCTGGAATAAAGAAAAGAATTTGAATGTTTTTCATGCAGTCTACGACACAAGAAGTGCAGACAAAAGTCTCCGATACAAAAGTGTTATTCAAAAATAAGTTGTAGACCAAATTGTGCAATGAGAATTTGGACACGGATCAAATATAAAATGAAGTAGTGGATACGGATGATATAGTGCAATGAATATTAGATGTTGCAAGCAAATCAAATAGTGTAATCCTATACTGCATTTCATACAGTGATTGAACATAGAAAACATTCCATCAACAAACATGAATAATTATTAAATATAGTCATAAGCTTTCAAAACCTTAAATAACGACATAAACCCAACAAGCGCTACATTAAGACGTCAGTGAATATTACAGTCACCAAGCGTAACACATTTGTGCAGTACGCGCCTTACTATGTGGAAGAGAGCGGGCAAAACGTGCTCACGACGAAGTACATTCCCAAGTAAGAATTCAACTCAAATTAATCAAATACTAATTACTTTATTTGAATAAGTGATTCTTTCCGAACAACCTTAAATTTTAGTTTTTTTAGTTTTCTTTTGAGCCTCAAAGCTCTGCTGATGAAGCATTGAGTAAACAGTAAATTAATCAAATTGAGATAATCAGAAGTAAGGAAACAAGACAATCTCAGTTTAGAATCTTTTTATTCTCTTGTATTATTAACCTAGAGCTGAATGTTAATAGCTAACTATACGTGGAATTAAAAAATCAGCTCTTTTTCTCACAGGAATTTGGTTGGGGAGATCAGGAACTGCTCGGGGTTCGTCCTAGAGGTCATCGACATTTTGGCACAGCAGCTCAACTTTACGTGAGAAATAACAACAAATTTATATCAGAACGTCCGAAAAAGTGCTAAATACAAGCAGCAATAACATCAATCGACTCATTAATAACGAAATCAGTAATTGTTGTTTATAAGTAAAACTATGTTAGAATATCATCTTACAAAACCACGGAGCCCGGTTATAAAAGAGTTTATTCAGATTGAAATTTAGCACATGTTCAGATTCGTCATAAGTTAAATAGAAAATATAATCAAAAAGAGGCTTGTAGTAGAATTTTAAGTCTCTTATTTCTACAACGAAATTTTCCAAACTAAAGAATCCTATGTAAAAGCTTTTCCCCTAAATTAGAGTGGAAAATTTCTCTTCTTATATATTCAACGCACCATTTTAATAATTAACTGAAATTAATTTTCCATTTGAGACCTAAAGAATTAATAGAAAATTTTCATCTCAGTTACGCGATCGTGAAACCTATAACAGAAGCGGATTATGTTTTCGGAAATGGGAAGAACGGCAACTATTCCGGCCTTATTGGAATGCTACACAGAGAGGTGATTTGTTATGCTTCCTTTGCCATTGGTTAATAAGCATAAGTATGAGTGTAAGATGATCAACAGCAATAAAAAAAATAAATAAAGACTAATGGCCCACGATTGTTACTGGTATTTGCGATGAAAAATAATTTAAAGTCGTATTATTTTATTTTGTAGTTTCCGATCGACAAACTAGAATGATTCGCCAAGTCGGTTTTTGATTCGATTGATCTGGCTCTTAATATAGGTCTCAAATCCCTGAGCAAATTCTACATCATATGATACAATTGTCTCCTTCATATAAAGTTGTCAATCTGAAACTACATAACATACACATCAAGTAATTCGCGCGACCTGAATGCCGAATGCAGGTAAAAATTCATTATGATGGTTTCACGTTCAAACATACACTCCAGTTGAGAATTGAACCAATTTAATTCTAAAATATTTTGATTGTGCAAATTTGAATGCAGGCGAATGCAGGTAAAAATTATTTGTAATGGCTTCCCCTTTAAACAAACGCTCTAGTTACGAATTGAACCAATTTAAATATTGACTATTTTTGTGTAAGTGTAAGAGAGCAATGAACATGCAGGAGGCTGACCTTGCGCTCGCTACCCTCATACCCACCCGAGATCGTGGAGAGGTTGTGGACTTCTCCGTCAGCGTCGACTACTACAAGAAGGTTCTGTGCTTCAGAAGCAACGCTCACACCGATGGAATTGCGTCAGTCATTAAATATAATAGCGGTTTCAGCGTTTATTAGTCCATAGGCATGTCGCCGATTCTTAACAATGCAGAACATCCACAGCTTGTTGCGGTCTCGAACTCACAACTCACTAATTCAAATTCCGCTGTGCTTAACCGCCCGGCCTCCTCGCCGATTCTGACCAGAAACTGGCGCACAGAGCTGGGATCGAACCCGCGCCTCTCTGCGCCAATCTTGGTACTCTGAACTTTAACCACTGGGCTACCCTGGCCCAGTACATTTGTGCATTTATGACCTGGGCCATAAGTGCAATTACAGCCTTGCGTCATAATTGTCAATTATAGTGATAAAGAATAAATTATTTATAGTTTATTTGAATCAAGTATCTTTAATTGTTCTGCGATTTATTGTTTAATAATTCAAATTAAGCATTCTGTTAAACAGTCTATTAAGGGAGCATGATATTCGTTATTTCGTAGTTGCATTTGATTTTGAATATAAAACTAATTAATAAAATAATTTTGGACATATACTGTATGTATCATTGCGGATAGTTATATATATATACATATTATGAATGAAAATTGGAGTCTAGAAATTGGAATTACATTTTGGGGAGGATTAGTTAGGCATTGCTAAATGTAAGAAAATTTGAATTTGATAATTCTTATTTTTTTTTAGTTTTGATAGCTGACCAGGTAAACCCATAACATGTCACGCACACACCACAAAGCTGTATTAACCTAATAGTAGAATTCAAGTAAAACGAATTATACAAGGGTATTGCACATATGATTGCGGACATAATTGAAAGAGGAACAAAATTTTATATTAAATTAAATAAGAATTTCGATAAACAAGAATAGGAATTACACAAATAAGAATTTTGCACCTGGGGCATATATGAATAAATAATTAAAAAATTTTGGTTTGAAAAAATTGCTTACACGAAAAGAATACATTGGTCAGATCGAGAAATGATTATTTAACGAATCTTTGTTGTTGAATCGTGTCACACATCAGAATGAACAAAATAATATTACAGTATGTAATTTTTTCTAGATTCCACTTAGGTAATCCGCTTAAAATCGATATATTAAATACACCTTTCCACAAAATGTTGTCTAATACTGGGTGCAATCATCTACACTTGTTCCCCAGGTGGATGACGTACACAGCTAATTTTCACCTCAGAACGTGGATAGCATTAATTGGAACAACTTTATTATCATCACTGGTGTTCTGGCTAGTGCTGTGGAAACAGCAAAACATTATTGGTAATGATGTAAGCCAGGAAAAAGAGAGACAAGGATGTCCCGCGAGGAACAACTTAGGGATGGAAGTTTCCCAAGCGTCACAAGAGGTTAAACAAAAGTTGTTGGACACTCTCTTCATGCATTTCGGATGTCTTGTGCAGCAAGGTAAGCATCAAAAAGAAGATGAAAAAATAAATTGTTGATTATATTTTAGAGGCCATTCATTTTCAGTTACAGCTGCATCTACTCAAGTTCATTTAAGATAACACATTAACATGTCTGAATATACATTAAATAAAGATTGATGAATAATTATGTGAAATGTAGAGATTCACTTCATTAAACTTGTCTCAATTCATTTTATTTACGAACAACTAACATTGAAATAGAGACGATATCTTTACCGTTGACTTCTATAACGGGCAGTTTCCATTTACTGTAAATATAAAGGGGTAATATAATGATATACTAAACTGCTTCGTAATAACTGCAGGATACCACACGACCCCTCAATCAGGCTGTCTACGGCTATTGTTCTGGGTATTCTGGTTGACCAGCGTCTGTCTTTACGCTTCGTACTCAGCTACTCTGACATCCAACTTCACCTTCAGGGTTCACGCCATACCTTTCAGTAACCTTGAAGAGGCTACGAAGAAAACTGATTGGCAAATAGGTCTTCTCAAGGGCACCTCTACAATCAGCGTTCTTCAGGTACCTACATTAATCAAATGCATTGCATAAACTTCATGCTATTTCTCAATAACCTTAAATATATTGATTTATTATTGCAAGATTATGTTCAACTTATTTCGGTCGCGTTAAATCCTAGATTAAAAGCCGCATTCGAGAAATTATATTGCTTTATAAAAAATTAATATATTAACATTGTCGTTCGCATTACCATGAATTTTCGTAGAAAACTTACAGAAGAACTTGAAATTAATCAAAGTAGCTGTTTTGCCGCGCAAAATATTGCTTAGACTGACATATACGTAAACTGTTGCACAGAGCATGGACCAGCCATGGGCGAGCGACCTGGCCAAGAGAATTGAAGACAACTCAGCCCTGCTAGTGCCTACGGAAGAAGATGGTCTTCGTCGAGCCCGAACTTCGAACTTTGCACTGATCGCGGAAGACACCGCAGTGATGTATTTGTTGTCTGGGGACTGCAGCATTGAATGTTTCTACGTGCAGGGCTTTGATGCTTTTGGCTACATTCCTTACAGGAAGGCTTTTCATAGCCAGGGAATCATTGATCGGAAGTGAGTAATGACGGCATTTTATCACCTGGTGGATACGTTAAACATCAAAATGACAAATATAATTGAAAACAATTTCATGCATACCTGACATTGATAAGGAAAGTCATAACAAGCATGGTTGTTGACGTTTAATCACTAATACATGCCAAAACATCAATTATAAAGAAAATTATGTAACTTAAATCAAATAAATATCCATCCCGTTCCTATACATCAGGCTGGCATTGCTGGTGTCGCGACTTTAACCGGCCCGTACAATATAATTATAAATTATAAAGAAAATGATGCGACGGTACTTGAGGTAATACCCATACAATTTATTTTCTTCAGATTAGCACTTCTGGTGTCGGGCGGCCTGATGAGCCGCGTCAGGGAGTCGTGGTGGGGCCAGTTCGTACCGTGCTTCATGGCTCAGGACTTCGAGGAACTCGGCTTCACGCACACGCTCTCAGCATTCTTAGTGCTCCTCGTCGGCATAGTGTGCGGCGCTGTTATATTCTTGGCAGAAATTTGGTACGGTTCGCGCCCAGTATCTGGCAATGTCATCGATAGAAGATTGTCCGTTGATTCATTCCCTGTAGCTTAGTGAATTATTCAGATAATTATGCCGCTGATTAGATATGTCAATTATGTATAAATTACTTGTATTATTTTAAAAATTATCGAAGATTGGCCTTTGTGGGTTCATTTGTCTACTTTTGAGAGCTGCATTGACTAGAAGCTAATTTTAGAGAGCAGAAAAAGCAGAACGGAGAAAGAGAACAAAAAAACAGAAAGCAGATGAATTTTAGAGAACAAAAAAAAAAAAATAAAAGAATTCATAAGAATGGCCTTTATGGGTTCATTTGTCTATTTTTGAGAGCAGATTTTTTTTATTTCAAAATTTAGTATGCGAGCACTGGGTGTATGGGCATTGAGTGCACAAGCACTTTGCGTACAGGTATCAAGTTCTTATAAGCATCGGGCGTGCGGCATTTGGCTATCAAGACATACAACACGTAATGTTGGTATAGAAGCAAATGTTAACTATACAATATTTTTGCATTACCTATATATTGACTAGAATGAAAATTTTCTGCAGCCCAGATAACACTTAATACACATCACCTCGGAGAAGCTACAACACAATTATTATGGCAAGTGTGAGATCTGAGGCTTCCCTTTTTTTCATTGTCACACAAAACATTGACGTCAGTTTGCACAAACCAACCCACTAAAGCTATGATTCACTCTAAAACAATCTCACAAATTTACATCTTATTTAAAGAGCGGCGCGCATCATACATAAAAATCAGTAAAAAAACTAGTTGAATCGGATTAATAATTGACTTGGCTCTCTAGATTGTACACGACTTGTATATGGTCTAAAGTTTCGCGTTCGTAGTGCATAGTTAAAATTGTACAGTTCGTGTACAGGTCTAAATGTTAGAGTGCATGTTCAACACTCAACAGTTTGTGTTTAGGCCTTAGAGGTTATTTGATGAAAAATGATTAACAGTCAATCCGACAGGCATGAAAATCTGAATGAAGCAATAATCAAAATATTTGCCATTAGATTTCAGTAAACTGAATGTATCCCGAAAATGAACGCTTTGATAGTAATTTTAATAATTAATGAACACTTTAATAGTAATTTTGACGTAATTATTCGTTAGATTTTTCAAGTTATAAGTTTCGATAGAATAAAATATCGGGGGTGCAGCAATTGAAGCCTAAAGGAGGTTATACAAGTACATCGAATATCAGTATATAGTTGGCGATGAAGTCTGGCGATGTGACGCCAGATATCTTCGTTTCTTCGTTGCGGCTACACTTATTTCTTTTAGCACTAATGCCTACTTCCGAAGTAGCATGCAAATTCCGTTGCTGCATTGCCTCTTGCATGCGATAGGAAAAAGAGAAAATTGTGGACAACATGCAGGGTATTTTATCAAGAGTATCTTGTTTATTTCAAGAAATATTCTCTAATGCTATATTGAAGCGTTCAACATATTTTATCACTGGTTCTCGTATATCACTTTCCAAAACTGCATATACTTTTTTGAAAGTCGTTGTGAGAAAGTGTGTCCTAATTGTACTGGTCTCATGAACATTGCCAAAAATTGTAGATATCCAGCTGGTTTATCGAAATAAAATGCAAGAAATGTTTGTGGCTACTGCACCTATAATGCAAATGCGTAATAAGCTCCCATCCACTAAATGCTAGATTTCATCAATATTAAAGTACTCATTGAGAAAATTTAGGTGATTAGAAGTTGATGAGTCCTGACTAACGTTAGTTTTGCAAGTCCTTTCCAGTGGGACAACAAATTTCACGAAGACTAGCTTATGAGCGTGCCAGCATGAGATAGTGGCATAACCACTTCTATATAGTCTGTCAATGCCATATGAAAATGTTTTTATAATTTTGCAACATATAGACTGATATAGTCTTCATTGCACTATTTGATCGGCATCCACTATTTAATTTTCATTACCCAATTTGGCCTACAAGTTATTTTTTAATGACATTTCTCCCAAATGTCGGTGGCTGTACTTTTAGTGTCGCAGACTACATGAAAACATTTAAATTCTTTTGTATATTCTTGCAATCTTTTAAAGCTTCATTTTCCCAGCTCCATCTTTTCGGTCAACGAAAATGTTTTTTGTTAATTTTGATTCCTTATTTTTTTCACGTAATTTATTTCTAGGCACAATTTGTAGGAAAATAAACGAATAAATATGGTCTTTCCATTCACTCCGTTACTACAGATCACAATAAATACAACGTGCTGGGAATCGCTATAACTATATATGATCCTTAATATGTTAGCACACGGACCGTCTACGGTCAATTTTCGTGGATAAATTAAAGTGTTTCTATTCGTTAAAATGACAATTAATTAGCCTGAAGAGAGCTTTATAAACTAAATGTGAATAGATAAAGAACCCTTTGCCAATAATACGCAGACGAAGAAGTTGCTGCAGTGACGATACTTTAACTAGTCGTTATGTTATATGCCAAGTTCAAGGTGGCAACCCTCATCATCGAAAACTTTCGTTTATGTAAGTTCCCCAAATGTGTGACACACACAAGCCTGGGATGTTGCCAACCTACACCTAATATGTAATATCAACTTGTTGGCCTTGTAAGTGGTGGATAGGGGGGATATGTTGTTATATTATTATATATTATATAATATAAGGGCACATGTTGTTATATTAGGTTATATATGTATATATAAGTGCAAGTATTTGAACAGGTCAATATCCCATAATCCGAGTCAATATCCCATAAATCTGCAATTTGCAGATTTTCATGGTAATGTATTCTTTTGTAATGTGAACTCTGAGGTCACGACAGATATTAGAAAACTCTCCTTAAAGATGTCACATTTGCTTCTTCATTGAATGAAAGAACTTATTGCCTGCGCTTAAATTTCATGGACTGTCGTAAAATGTTACTCAATTATTGTTGGTAAAATCGATGTGTGGATATAGTGTAGCTCCAATTTTGCCAACATTATCAAGAGATTACTTTGCCAACTGAAAAAACGGGCTCATTGCTCATGGAGGACTATTCGTTGGGTTCTTTTTATGTAGACACAAGCTAATCGCCTTGAGCATTTATAGGCGTTGAATATTTTATTTGTCATATCTCTGCTGCGCCAGCACGGAAAAGAAGCTAAGAGTCACATCCAAATGCTAGAGACATCCCAAGCTAAAGTGCTATGACTAAATGAACTAGAATGAGCACTTACGGAAATTAATAATTAACTCAACATTAACGAACAAACACGAGGATAGAGGAGCGAAGGCACAGACAACTAAAGATAAGGAATATTGGTTGATGATAGTTGCAAAGAAGTTTTTCATAACTGATTTGATGGCCAATATATCTCCATCTGCTGCGTTACATTCCATATTGATTAATGAACGTTTCATAGCCGTAACTATAGTGGCTTCACTACTAAGTGGTACAACTGCTCCCTTCTGAATAAATAATAATAAAAAAAGAAGAAGCATACTTGCGTTTAATGGCTGAGACGGTTATGAGTGTACTACCCTGCATGACTCATAAACAACAAATGGCAGCAAGCCCACATTATGGCCATCGACCTCGTGTTTGGCGCTGCATGGGAGCCACAGAGAATATCGTATAATATCATATATTTTTAATGTGAACTTTTAGAACATTAACTTTGCCTGAGCTAGCTGTCTAACAAGCTTCGGCCAATCCCGCGTAGCCAATTACATTGCTGTGTCTGTTCAGTCTCTGACTTATTTTAGATTCACACCTAAAAATAAGAAATTATGGCATCATCATCTAACATAATAATATCTCTATAATAATTTTATGTAATGCTTACATCGAGATATATCATGAATCGATCACAACCAAATGACCATGCCAGAGAGTACTGTGTAGTCGTTCGTAACAATTACCAATGCGAATTAACGTCATGTTTTAACTAATTTATAAAAGTGTCGGAAATCGCCAGTGGAAATCAGTGGTGCACAAATTGTTTGTGGTGTTTAATTCCAGTTTAATGTGGTTGTGGGGAAGTAGATCTTAACGTCATTAATGAAAAAATGTAGCTCAGTACTCACTGCAGTGAGTGACTGAGAGCACATTTTCTCGTCGACAAAAACGTGAAGTCACGGACGGACAGACGGACGGACATGACGAGCACAATAGTGCATTTTTTCCATAAACGAGAAAATTCGCTATAAAGGTACAGTTCATCCTATTCTCGTCTATCTACCTCTTTCTACGCGCGATGCAAATACTAATTTGCATGAATAGTGCACATGCAATCATTTCCTTTCAATATCCTGGCTTTAATTTATAGTTCACGCATGAGAGGCTTGCATGTTTCCAGCGGTGGCAGTTTAAAGTCCTCGCTTTAGTAAACGAAACAGCTGACGTTTAATTCGCATCGCAGTCACGACCATAGAAAATAGTTCCAACCACTGCATGCATTCCACGGCACATTTGCAGGTGCTAAGAAAAGAAAATTAAACCAGTTAAACAAAGCCGAAATTTCTTTGATTTCGGGCTCGCATGAAAGAATTTCCTATGCTGTGCCATAACAAATTATCTCCAAACTTTTCTAAAAACTTGTATCAAAAAATTCTCTCAGTCCTCGACCCCAATTGTTATTCTGCTTTGACTCGTCCAGGAAATAAATCGAATAGATCAGTTAAATTCAGTTAAATTATTTCGGAGTTACTGGTAACTCCGAAATAATTTCGGAGTTAGATGGAGTTTACTAAGCATGATATTCTAACATTTCTCCGGATCAAAAAGACTATCTACTGTATGTAGTCATGCACATTATCGATGGCTTCCTTTAACCACTACTAGCAATCAAAGTGAGCATAGTGAGTATAGTGATGTGAGCAAAAGGTATAGCAAGGCAAAATCCTTTCAGCGCAACACGCACAATAAATCTGAATCTGGATTGAGCTAGCGTCTAAAGTGGAAGACTCTATTATTTGTTACTGTTTATTGATTGATTGGACAAATGGGCAAGCAGATGGGTAAATGACAACATTCTAATATTTTGTTCATCGGAATACAGACATATGCCTGCATATGCATGCAGACTTGCACTATTTGGGAGCTTGAGGAGTGCATATACTGTTTATGCAGATGCGAAATATCAAAGCATCGGAACGTGAAGCAAAGATTTGAGATATAAAAAAGACGAAGATCTTAAGTTAATCCAAAGTCACGAAAGAGATGGTTGTTTGATGCAGGGTGAAATGGAGTTAAAATGGACATTGGAGTTAAAAAGATTGTGGATCTTCGTATGACTCGAATGACCAATATCATTAAATAAAAATATAAAAAATAATAATAATAAGAATTTTTTAGGACCTAGTTTGCTGCGAAATATATAACTGACTACACTGAAATTTTATTTAAATGCTATAATGGATCGTTGCCATTTAATGAAACCCGGATAAACACTTACGCGTAAAAAATACATTACACATTGGCTTAAAAAAATTGCGACTGTCAAAGTGATATATCATATTACCCGCTACTAGCTGCTCCATTTAATGATGCACCTTTTTATGGGGATTTTTGAACAATAGTTTCAACTGTTGATAGTTGATAATTATTTCAGTTGGTTGATATTTACTAAGAATTCCGTGAAAATTGGATTCTGATATTATTTCAAGAATTCAAAAACGCGTAAAATCTTTGAGAATGTTAAGTCTTTCAACGCAAACAAAGCTTCATTGTCGTAAAATTCAGTTAACACGGTAAATATTCACGTTTGCGTCAATCAGTAAAACGAATAACTCCTGAACCAAAAATATATTTTCAGATAATCCATTACAGAATTATAATAGTCGCATTTGCTTTATTTTTTCCAATGCAGGAAGATAATTTTTTTTCCCATACTTCGGTTTCATCCCCATAAATTTCATCTATTGAATTTATTGCTTTATTTGAATTTATTGCTTTATATTTTATTGCTTAAATAGATTTCAAGCTAGGTTCAACGTCATATTTATTTTCTTTGATTCCTTACGTGACTTGAAATATGGGATTTGCATAATAAATAGAGTAGCAAATGATCGTCGTTTTTATGTGTATTTTTTGGTATGAATTTCG